ATCAGTACCAATCCACTTTAGTTCTCAGATGTACTTTTATTAGCTATAATTTTCTAAACTATTTCATGTATGGCGACCTTGGGCTAAGGAATGCAAGAAAAGTATGACAGAGTACTGTATGATGCAAATATTTCGACTTTAGCAATGTCCCATAGAGACGCTTTACAAAATTGGGAATTGCTCAGCTACAAACAAATCAACATAAAAACAAAAAAGACAGTTTTAAAGTTAATGATGTTTGTTAAATTTTAGATCTATGGCTTTAATACTCAAGCTAGAAATAATTATTTGTTAAATTAAAGAGTTTTTATGGGAATGCTATTACAACGAATGCATGAGAACGTTGATTGCAAAATACTCAGCTATAAAAAATTCAATCCAAATTAAAACAAATGAACAGTTTTATGGTCAATGATACAGAGATGATGTCTGCGTAATTTCAGATCTATAGCTGAAAGACTCAATCTAGAAAAAAATATTTGTCAAATTACAGAGCTTGTATGGAAACGCAATTACAGCGAATGTATACTAGGCATGTTCACAAAATTGCACATTTCTTGGGTATAAAAAATTCAATCCAAAAACAAAATGAACAGTTTTAAAGTCAATAATGCAGAGATGATGCAGGTTAAATATCAGATCTATAGTTCAAATACTCAGGCTAGAAAAATTTATTTGTTAAATTACAGAGCTTGTATGAGAGAACGTATGGGCACCTTCACATAATTGCGAATTTCTCAGCTATAAAGGATTTAATCCAAAAACCAAAACTGATAGCTTTAATACCAGTCATATAGAAATACTTTTCACCAAATACTGTATCAGAAGAAAAGATCTAATGATGGAGCTACATGTATATGAATTATCTAATTATTTTATTATTTAATTTATTTATTTTATGTAATGTTTGTGTAATTATATTTTGTTTGTGTAATTATTTATGTATTAATTTTATTTATTCATGCTCCATGCGCCATAAGAAAGACGCAATTTGCAACCTCCAAATCAGCGATGATCCTGTTTATGTACTTGGTGTGCATTTTACCTACAATATTGAATTGTCTCATAAGAAAAATTTCTTTGAAAAATTAGGATCCCTAAAGAGAACCTTAAGTGTCTGGTCCTGAAGAGACTTATCTATATACGGTAGAATAAATATTGTTAAAACTTAGCCCTCTCCAAACTTGTATTCATCTCCAGTGTTATGGAGACTCCAAAAAACTTTGCAACAGAGGTCA